GGTAGATGGGGAGACAGAGCAGGAGGAAGAGAGCAGGGTTAGGATGCTTAGGGTTTGAAGTTATAGAAGCAGAAGAAAAGGTCACCCTAACTCTCTCCTCTCGGCGAGTGTGGATTAGAAGAGGTGGTGGTCCCATGGAATCTGCATATTGAAGCCGCAGGCGGCAGTCTCTGCCTTTCTGCCCCTCTCCCCTCCCCACTCGCACTGCATTCTCTGCCTTCCTGGACCTCTTCCCTATGCCTCTCCCTCCCTCTCTGTCTGTGTCTCCCGGTTTGTACATTTTCCCCATTCTTCACTTTCCTGCCTCCTTTCTCTCCACTTCCCTGCTTTCGTTCATCTAGCCTTTGTGTGTTCCTGCCGGTTTCTCCCTCTCCTTTATGCTTGGGCTTCTTGGGCAGCCGTTCCCTCTCTGTGCAGCCATGAAGGGTCCGCCCCCTTAGGTGTGGTCCCCACCTCCCTCTCACACTTGGCCTCAAGGGCTATTTTTACTCCTGGGTGAGGCTGTGCTGCAGAGATTCCTCCAGCCCTGGGTCCAGCATGGGGAGGATTATCTGGAACTAGGGGAATTGTACTGGGAGACCCCGGCAGTGCCCAGGGAAGAGGGAGGTGGCCTTTGCTGCTTGGGCCTCAGCCTCACATGTCCCTGCCCCCACTCCGCGCCAGGAAGGAAGCTGCTGAGACCAGAGACACAGTGAGATGAATCACCCTCAACCTAGGGGGAGGTGTCCCTTGGGGGATGAGGTCACCACTTGCCAATTAGAGGGCAGCCCCCTTCTGCAAGGCCCTCCACATCTCTAGGGAAAGGCCCTAAGTCCCTTGCCTCCCCAAGCAGCTGCCAGAAACTGCTTGGGTAGAGGTATAGAGAACCAGACCTCTTGCTTCTGAGCCCTGCCCCACCCCTCCTGTCTTCAGGCTGTATTCCTATCAGGAATCCAGGAATCCAGGCCTCTAGCCTACAACCCTAGCCTCCCCAAAGCCCCTCTCTAGGCACTATTTCATGGGTTAAATTGTGAGAATTAAACGAATTTTTGTATGTAAAGTGCTTAGAATAGCATAGAGGAAACTACACTAGCATTAGTCTTCCCACTCTAGGGTCCAGATCCTCCAAGTTCTCCGAAGCCTGTTCCCTCTGCCTACCTCCCACCTGTCCTCAACTCTCTGGGGAAGCAGAAGCCTACCTTTGTAGAAAATTCTCACTGATCCGCCTTGGGTTTGATCTAGCCCCCCAGGTGGAGAGCCCAGTTCTGGGGGAGCTTTTAGCAGTGAGACTGAGTATGTGTCATGACGAGGCAGGAAACAGGTCTGGGAACAGGAGATGCAGAGAAAGACCTGGAGATGAGTGGGATGCACCAGGCCTAACCTTGGAGTGGGGCTTTCTTTCCAGGCTGGCAGTGATGGTGCCAAGATCGGGAACTGCCCCTTCTCCCAGAGACTGTTCATGGTGCTCTGGCTCAAGGGAGTTACCTTCAATGTCACCACTGTTGACACCAAGAGGTAGGCCCACTTCTGTTCCACTAAACATCCCTTGTGCACACACACATGCACATACATACTGTCACCCACCTGAGTCCTTCCATGCTGAACACTTTTCCCCTCCATCTGGAGCCCCTTTCTCTTCCCACATTCCTCCCCCTCCCCTTTCTGGTTCTCCCCAAACCCCTTTCCCTGTCCTGATGCTGGGTCTCTCCTCCAGGCGGACTGAGACGGTACAGAAGCTGTGCCCAGGAGGGCAGCTTCCATTCCTGCTATACGGCACCGAAGTGCACACAGACACCAACAAGATTGAGGAATTTCTGGAGGCGGTGCTGTGCCCTCCTAGGTATAGGGGAACTCGGAACAGGGAGTGGGGAATCTGGGAGACTCAGGGAAAGAGAATGATTGAAGAAATGGAAAACCCAGATGGTGGTTGGGCTAGAGCAGGGTTGCTGAGGCTCCTTCTCAGAAGAGCTCTTATCCTGTTTCTCCCATTGGTCTTCAGGTACCCCAAGCTGGCAGCTCTGAACCCCGAATCCAACACTGCTGGGCTGGACGTATTTGCCAAGTTTTCTGCCTACATAAAGAATTCAAACCCAGCCCTCAATGACAGTGAGTCTTGTGGATTGGAGGCCTGAGTCCTAGGAAGAATGAAGAAGAACCATGGATTAGGGGCCCCTGGAAGTCCAGATATCAGGGAAATGGAGCAGATGTTGGCAAACTTGCACCACCACCACCCTGCACATTATCGTTGTTTAACCCCCATATTTCCCTGAATTCTCATTGACTGTGACTTTTAAGCTCCTCTCATTTGTTCCCTAGCCTCTTCTGCCCCACTGGGGACATTAGTTGGGTTGACTGCTGGCCTGTGTTCTAGCAGAAGAGTATTGTGCTTAAGAACAATGGCTTTAGGTAGGAGGGAAATAGCCCAGTGGTAGAGCACATGCTTAGCATGCAGGAGGTCCTGAGTTCAATCTCCAGTACCTCCATTAAAAACAAACAAACAAACAAAAAACAATGACTCTAGATCCAGACTACCTGAGTACAAATCTTACTAGCTGGGTAACTTGGGACAATTCATTTAACTTCTCTGTAAATCCACTTCCAGATCTATAGGAGAATAACAATACCTGTTTCTTGGGTTGATGTGAGAACTAAATGAGTTTTTGTGTGTAAAATTCTTAGAATAACACATAAAAAATGAACTACATTACTGCTAGCAATTACTATTTTGGACTGGCCTCGCCATTAGTATTCAGTACCCCCATGGGTCTTCTTGGACCTTCTAATGTTCTTCCCAACTTCTCTCTTTTGCACAGATCTGGAGAAGGGGCTCCTGAAAGCCTTGAAAATTTTAGACAATTACTTGACATCCCCCCTCCCAGAAGAAGTGGATGAGACCAGTGCTGAGGATGAGGGCATCTCTCAGAGGAAGTTTCTGGATGGCAATGAGCTCACTCTGGCTGACTGCAACCTGTTGCCAAAGCTCCACATAGTACAGGTGGGTGGTCATTGTGGGAGGAGAGGGTGGTCGCTGGGATGGCTTTTTAAGGGGCTCCCACATGGGCTTCCCATGACAACTGCTCCAAAGGTGGTTTCTTTACTAGGATGATTTCTAATAGCAGACACCACCCCATTCCTTCCTGGCATTCTTTGCTGGTAAGACTTGAGAGAATTCTATTCCATGATACAAGAAGTGAGTGCAAACAGACCAGCTGAGAGTAACACATCCCAGTATTACTTTCAAAAATGCTCTTCCTGTCTCAGTCATTGCCAAATCCCCAAATCAGACAGAGCAGGCTTTTCCTAAAAATCAAAGCTTTAAGTCTGTAGCTTCAGCCTTCATTTCCTCTTGTGGAAGATGAACACTGCTGGTTCCCATGTTTTTATCAGAGCTCATGCTATGCTTTAGTTTGTGAAACAAGGGATACTGAAGTGTCAGTCTGTTGCAGAACTGTGTATTAAACATCAGTGTACTGGGCACTAAAAGACATGAAGATCTGGAGTGATTGGTCCTTGCCCTCAAGGAATTTGAAATCTAGCTGAGATGATAAAACATTCACATGAAAGTTAAGTAATAATACATGGTTAAAAGCCAAATGAAAAGTAGACATAAGTTGCTATGGAAATTCAAGAGGAGAAGTGTGTGGTTTGTGAGTTATATCTCAAAATCAAGAGGGGAAAACTAGCACCATGGACTGAGGTGGTCTGAAAAGGGCTGGTTATAAATGGCCAGGATTTCATTTAAGTGGAGAGGAAGGCTAAAGAGTTTACAAGAGTGAGGAGTTAAGAAAACCCATCAAAGATGATTAATATGGGAGATAAGAATCTTAGGAAGAGAAACCAGAGAGTGGAATTACTTGAATGCCTGGACAAGGAGGCTGGATTTTATCGTGTAGGCCTTGGCACAAGGGAAAGACCAAGAGCATGGTAACTATTGTGGCTTCCCTGAGGCTAACCTATTGGTCTTTCTCTCCTCATCCCTAGGTGGTATGTAAGAAGTACCGGGGATTCTCCATTCCTGATGTGTTTCGGGGAGTGCATCGCTACTTACGCAATGCCTATGCTCGGGAAGAGTTTGCCTCCACCTGTCCAGATGATGAGGAGATCGAGCTGGCCTATGAGCAAGTGGCCAAGGCCCTCAAATAAGTCCCTACTGGGGTTCCCTCACCCACCTCCATTTTCTCCATCAAGGCCCTGGATCGTTTGTTTCCACATGGCTACCCAATGGACACACTCCAAAATGGCCGGTGTACAGAGAATCCTGGTGCAGGGCTTGCTGTGGGGTGATGAGGAGAAAGGATGGGGGATATGGGTGAGATTTTTATTGTGGGGTCGGGCGGATAGGACAATGTATTTCAATAATAAAATACAGAAGGAAAATTCAGTGTTTTTACACAAAGGGGCTTGAAGTGTGAGTAACATGGAATGAAGGGTGGGTAAGTGACCTTGAGCTCCGAGCAGAAGCCGGGAATTTAGAAGAGGGGTGCTTGTGATGGGGCTGCCATTTTTAGTGCTGGTTCACCGTTGAGCTGTCTTGCGCTCCATGTCGCATTTGCAGCCCAGCCGCAAGAGCCGGTCAGATCTGGGTGGGCCTGGGCAACGCTCTTGGGGCGGGGCTGAATTCAAAGGACGGGGGTGGGGGGGGCGCAGTCCGGATAGAGTGGGCGCGGCGTAGCAGGGCGGAATGGGCGTGACCTCGAGGAGCCCCGCCTCGTCCCGCTTAGACAATGCCCCGGAGCCGCCAGATCGTCGCGACCCCGCCCCACTGTAGTACTTGAGCTCGCCTACCCGGGGACCCCTCAAAGCCAAAGCTCCAACCCTCAAGGCTTGAAGACTAGGACTCTTCTTCACCAACTCTGTCCTCAGGGGGGTGGGGCCGCAGCCAAGATCACAGCGGCAGGAGTGGGGGTGGCCGCTAGAGGTGAGTCTGGGGTGGGAGGTGGCCCTTGGATCATGTGAGGGCCAGAGTTTGGGGGTGAGGGACCCGTGCTTGTGCTGGACAGTGCGAAGGGTCGATATTTGGGTGCGGAGCTGAGTGGGAGTGGACTTTGGGGAAGATAGATCAGAAGACTTGGGGACCGGGTCCTGGTGCCCAGAGTGGCGCCGGCTCCCCAGAACCACGCCCCCGGTTTCCCCGCCCCTCGGATTTCGTTTTAGACCTCTCCCAGTCCTCCGGGACTCAGTCTGGTTTACACTGGGTCGCGGTAGGAACGGAGTGACCGGTCGGGGTGGAGAGAGGATGTTTAACTCCTTAGTCTCTAATTCCTCCCTCCTTGTCCCTCTCTCCCTTTCTCATTCGGACGTTTAGGACTTCCATCCTCCAGGCCTTGACTCTCCCCAGCTGTCTCCTGACCCAAAACCTCTGTGGGCCCCTCGCCACAAGTCGGGTCCCTAAGGCAGCGAGCAGCTGAGGGTTAAGGGGGCGGGGCCGCTACATTTTTGGGGAGTGAGCGCATCCTAGCGGTTGCCAAGAGGGGCGCCTGGCAGGGACCTTTCGAAGCCCCCGAGCAGGGGCAACAGGTGTTTTGGAGATTAGGGATCCCGATCTTTTTCCTCGGACTCCCCCTAAAGCAGCAGACCCACGAGGGTGTGGGGTGGAGTGGGGTCGGCAGAAGAGGAACGTCTGGAGGGGGTGGGGTGGAGTGGGTGGGGCACCCGGAGATGGCAGGAGGAAGACCTGGGCGCTCTTAACCACCACCCCCTACACACTTTTCTGCATGTTTCTTTCTCTGCTTCCCCCCTTTCTTTTTCTTCTCCCAGACAGGTGAAGTAAAAAGAAAACTAAGAAATCAGCGCGGCCGGAGGGGGCGTCTGTGTGGATGGGATGGGGACGCCAGGGGAGGGGCTGGGCCGCTGCTCCCATGCCCTGATCCGGGGGGTCCCGGAGAGCCTGGCGTCGGGCGAGGGTGCAGGGGCCGGCCTCCCAGCTCTGGACCTGGCCAAAGCTCAGAGGGAGCACGGGGTGCTGGGGGGTAAACTGAGGCAGCGATTAGGGCTGCAGCTGTTAGAATTGCCTCCTGAAGAGTCGTTGCCGCTGGGACCGCTGCTCGGTGACACCGCTGTGATCCAAGGGGATACGGCCCTAATCACGCGACCTTGGAGTCCCTCCCGCAGGCCGGAGGTGAGCGCCTGGGTGCGGGTTAGGGTAGGGGGAAACTGGATCTGGGCCTCCAGGGCTTTAGGGAAGAATGGGGATGGGAATGTCTCCGCCTCGCGCCCTCTTCTGCACTAAGGTTGATGGAGTCCGCAAAGCCCTCCAGGACCTGGGGCTCCGAATTGTGGAGATGGGGGACGAGAACGCGACGCTGGATGGCACTGATGTTCTCTTCACTGGTGAGGCTAGGGTGCCTGCACCCTAGGGCTTGGCACAGGGAAGCAGACTTTGGGAGACTGGGCCATCTCGCGCCTTGTTTCCAGCTCACTCCCGCCTTAAACCTGGCGGCCTCCCCGGGCTCAGGCCGGGAGTTTTTCGTAGGCCTCTCCAAGTGGACCAATCACCGAGGAGCTGAGATCGTGGCTGACACGTTCCGGGTGAGGAGTAGGGCCCGCCTTGGGCAGAGGGGTGCGGGGAGGGCATGGAGCAGATAGGGGCCGGAGGAGCCTCGGCGGCGGGGGCGAGGGGAGACTTAGGGCGACACTGAGGAGGAAGAGGCTGAGTCTGTGTTTGAGGGTATCCCCTCACCCTTCCCGCGCCCTTAAATACTTTCCCTTATTCCCCCGCCGCTAGGACTTTGCTGTCTCCACGGTGCCGGTCTCGAGCCCTGCCCACCTGCGTGGCCTCTGTGGCATGGGGGGACCTCGCACTGTGGTGGCCGGTAGCAGCGATGCTGCCCAAAAGGCTGTCAGGGTGAGAAGGGGCAGGGCTGAGGTGGGGAGGGTTGGTCCGCGGCCAACGAAACTGGGCGTGGCCCCGGGCCTGGGAGGCGGGGAGCTGAGAGGCTCTGAGGATGAGCCCCAACCCTTGCCCTCACGGAGCTGTCCATCCAGTGTGAAAACACCTGAGAAAACAAGAAGTTACTATGTGGGACAGGGGGCTGGAAGACCAAGGAACAGGGGCAATTAAGATTGTCTTCCCTAGTTTCAAGAAATTCCCAAAAGTGACATCTAAGCTGTGACTTAAAGGATGGATAGGAGGGACAGGTCGGGTCTGGAGTAGGGGAGAAGAGGGTAGCACGTGGAAAGAACTGCATGTGAGTCTGAGGTGAAAACTGCAAAGTTAATTAAAGCACTTACTGCCTGAAACATAGTAAGTGCTATGTGCTTGCTGTCATTATTATTCCACAATAATTTAACTCTGTCCTCAGCCCTTAGCAGTGGTTGGGCAGTCAGACTCAGTTGTGAAGAGGCTCTGAGCCTTGCATGCTTCCTCTCTCCTGTCCCCTAGGCAATGGCAGTGTTGACAGATCACCCCTATGCCTCCCTGACCCTCCCAGATGATGCAGCAGCTGACTGTCTCTTTCTGCGGCCTGGGATGCCTGGTGTGCCCCCTTTCCTCCTGCACCGCGGAGGCGGGGACCTGCCCAACAGCCAGGAGGTGAGAGAAGGCAGGAGCTCTACCATCACCACCAACCAGAGAAATGAGCCTCAGGCTTTCCTAGTGGCAGAAAGGAGGGAGACCTTCTCTAGAAGCCTGGGTGGGGCCACTCTGAGCTGGCTGGTGGGAAGGGGGCCTTAGCTGTGGGCTTTGGGGTCTTACTCCCTTCTCCCCACACACTGTCCTCCCTGCAGGCACTGCAGAAGCTCTCTGACGTCACCCTGGTACCTGTGTCCTGCTCAGAACTGGAGAAAGCAGGCGCTGGGCTCAGCTCCCTCTGCCTGGTGCTCAGCACACGCCCCCACAGCTGAGAGCCTGGCCTTGGGGTCCTGGCTGGCCAGGGGTAGGGTGGCACAGGAGTAGAAGGGGAAGGAGGATTCAATAGAGGATGGTGAACAGTAGTAGTGGGGAGAGGGCCCCAAGATGGAGGGAGGGCATAATGTAACGAAAAGGATAGGGGCCACTGGGTAAGTCCTTTCCCCAAGAACTAATAAAATAGAACTGACCTTTTAGACTGGGCTGTGACTGGTGTCTTACTGGGGCAGAAGGACAAGGGCAGGGCTGAAACCTGAGGTTAGGTCAGTGCTGGGAAGGAGGCCTCTTTCATTCATCAAACCCTCTCTTGGCACTAACTCATGGTCCAGCCCTATCAGAGGTGTTTGGCCACAAAATGGACAGGACAGAACTTCTGTGGTGGGGAGCACATACAGGGCAGAGAAGAGAAAATACGAGTGAATCAACCACTGCATTTATCTAAATGTCAGATGATTCAGAGAATAGGAGATTAACAGTCCATCCGTAATTCATAGGAGGAAATAACATTTCCAGGGACATTTATTTTCACTCATTTACTGAAGCTTAGCAGTGATACAAAAAGGGTTAATCTCTTGATATCAGGGAACTCACGGTACATGAAAATTTCTTATAAATTGAAATATGGGTTGTAATGGAGCAATTCACAGCAGGCTATGAGAGAAATAAGGGGACCCTCTAGGAAATCAAAGTGTATGCAGGGATGGGCAAAGAGGGACAGGGATCACTTCCCAGAAAAGGCTATGCTTGAACTGAGTCCTGAGGATAAATAATAGCCAGGCATACAGTGGGAAGGAGACAAAGGGTAATTAATCTAGGAAGAAGGAACTGCATTGGGCAAATGCATATTTGGGGCTGGGGAGACTTTCTCTACAGCTGTCATGTTCTATGCATGTGAGTGACAGAGATAAGCCTGGAAAGTAGGTCGAGAGCTGTAGCACCTTGTACCCAAATCTGAGGACTGTGGACCCAGAGCTGAAATACTGCAGTTCTGAAACACAGGCGGTCAGGAGCAGGTTAGCATCTGGGAAAGATCTTAAGCAAGGGTAGGAGGATGAGGTGGGGCTATGGGCAATCTAAGGAGGAAACGAGGAGATGAAATTCAGGTGGCAGTACTGGGCATGAAGAGGGTGTGGATTTGACTGTGACATTAAAATAGAAAGGCAGGACTTGGTTAATTGTGTGGGAATGAGAGGTGTACATGACTCCCAGTTTCTGGCTTAGGCAACTGGGTTGATCAAGAGAGAATGCACAGGAGGAAGGGTTAAATTAAGTAAGTGGCTTGGGAGATGACGGTGAGTTGGGTTTTGGACCTGCTGTGTGCAAAATGCCTAGGGCCAGCCAGGCAGGGATGTCTGAGGGACAGTTTGGCAATCCCATATCAGGGATCTGAGCTAGAAAGAGTTCTGGCTGTTGTTTGCAGAGGTGAAGGCTGAGGACTGGCTGTTGATCATAGTGTCCCAGAAGAGGGAGAAGGCAGATAAAGACAGGGACAAACCTAGAATGGTGGGGAATACTGTAGGGGAGAGAGAGCAAGGAAGAGGATTCCAGAAGGAAGATATCAACATTAAAGAAAAACAGCTTAAAGATGAGAGTAATCAAAGGCCAAGCCAGATGAATGATAAAAAATGTCTACTGAGTGTAGCTATTAGGACATCACTGGCAATCTCATGGAGAGGGGGTGAGCAGTGGGAGTTGACTGAAGAAAATGGAAGAGCTAGGTGTAGGCCACTGGTGGAAAGAGCTTGACTGCGGAGAGAGGGAAAGAGAGAGGGCAGTAATCTAGGAGTTGTAGATATCTCAACATGGGGAAGCAGGGCTTGATCAGCTCTAGAAAGGAAATCAGTGGTGAAGGAGACATGAAAGTTGTGGGTAAGGAAGGAAGAAGATCAGTGACAGGGATAGCCTGGAGCCCAGCTCTCCTGACTCCCAGTCTAGTGCTCATTTCTATCTCACAGTGTCTTCCTTTCCCACGTGAAGGGCCAAGAAGGGGAGGGTTATGGAGACCTGGGAGCCCCCAGCTTGTGAGGTTTGGAGTAAGGAGTTCCTTTCAAACTACAACAGCATAGATGGTGGAGGCATCAGCTGGGGCCACTGGGGACAGTCGGCAGGGCCTTCTGAGGGCCATATGATCCAGGTCTGCGTACAGCAGGCTCTGAAAGGTGGGGAGGAAGGCAGGAGGGTCTCAGAAGTCTGACTCCCTTGGGGATCCAGGCCTCTGTCTTTCTTGATCCACTTTACCCAGGGATTCTGACCAGCCTCCTTTCCATCCCCAAGCCCTTACCGACTCTTGATCCAGGCCCCCTGAAATCTTTGGCTCCTCCTCCTCTACTGGCCTCTGGGGCTCGGCTTTCACGAGTGGAACTATGTGGGGGGGACAGAGCTGAAGAATTGAGAGAAGGTAACCAACTTGTCTGCTCCCAGCAAGGGCTAAGACTCCGGCATTGGGTAGGGAATGTGCGGAGAAGGAAAATGGGGTGGAGTTAGTCTCACCAAATCTGGGCAGCGGTCGAGGCGGGTGAGGGGGCGAGGGTGGGTGAGGGGGCGAGCGCCTGTAAGGATGGATAAAAGTATTTGAGAGCCACCAGTCTTGTCTCGCTAGTCCTGGGCCCCAGGACTCACCAACAACAACCCACCAGCTCGGTGCAGGCTCAGACCCACAAAACAATTTAAGCCCCACCCCCACAGATAGTTCCGCCCACGCTCTGAGCCTGCTCCGCCTCTAGCTCGCTTTCCTAGCCAGGGCTCCACCCACCAGCTCGTGGCTTCGCCAAGTTCTGACCTCCTCCATTCTTCTCCAAACCAGACCCCAGGGCTCCAGATCAAGCTTTTGTCTGCAAAAGTTGTGGTCCTGCCCCTCCCGCCTCCGGTGAAATCCCGCCCCTCGTGCTCACCTGCGCAGCCACCAGACCAAGCCCAGCGCTCCGAGTCCCAGCACCAACCCAACGCTTAGCAGCGGGATCAGGATCTGGGGATACACTGACCCGAAGGGAATGTTGGAGGCGGGGTGGCGGTGGATGCCAAGGTCAAGGGTGCGAGGACAGCTAGGTCTCCTACTCAGGAATCCCCAGCCACGGCCTCCCTCCCTGCCGGGGTCGTGTGTCCGGGTTAAGTCTCTTGTATATGAAGTCCTAGACCTACCTTGGGTAGGCTCCGGAGCTCTGCAATTGGCCAGATCCCCCAGCACGTGAAGCACCGTTCGACTCTCTCCCTGGTGCTGGCCCTTGCAGATAAAGGTGCCCGAGTCCCCGGTGCTCAGAAGCAGCTCCAGCCGCCTGATATCAAGGTCCAGAGTCCGTAGGCGACTAGCAAAGGGCTGAACGGGAGACGCGGTGGGGGTCCCGCTCGGTGAGGCCCACAGGATCGGGCGACGTCCTTTGGACAGACCCTTGCAGGCGGGGAAGCTAGGTGCCCAGACCCAGCGGCTGGGTTGCGATACCCCTTCACAGGAGAGATTCACCCTGTCCCCAGGGCGGCCGACCAGGGAAGCTAGGGGAGGCCAGAGGTAGTGGTTAGGAAAAGTCCACAGGGCGAGACGACCCCTCACTTACGTCTGCTCTCCTCTCGTTCCTTCTGCTCTCCAGCCATCCCGGATCTTCCCACACACATCCCACTCCTCCTAGTCATCCCCGCCCCCTGCCTCAGTCCTTCCTCGCCATTCTGACTTTCCCGGGATGGCTTACCCCCGGGGCTCCCGTGGGCCCTCGACAGCAGCAGCGGTAGCAGCTGCAGAACCAGGGCCATAGCTGGAATGTGATGGTAAGAGGCGGCGAATGAATCAGCGGAGGACACCGGAGGGAAACCGGAGGTGGGGGTGGACAGGGAGACCGCAGGTCTGGGGGCTCTGATAAGGGGTGAGGGCGGGGCCACCAGCTGCCCGGATCCCTCTGGGAATCTTCCCAGGCAAGTTCATAGCCCTCAACCAATGCTCACTTAAAATTCCTAGTGGGGCCATTTTCACCAACACTACCGCAGACTTTAACAGCTGCAGCGTCGCAGGTGCCTAATACACCACGATTTCTAGATCCCCACTGAGTTGAAATCTTGACTTTGCCATATACTAGATGCATGATGTGCACAAGTCGTGTAATTTCTCTGGGCTTGTTGACATCGTCTATAAAATGGGGATAAAAACACCTACCTTGTAGAGTATTGTGAGAATTAAGTAATACACCGAAAATGCCTAGAACAATGGCTGAGACATAGGAGCACTATGTACTTGCCATTATTACCATTTCTGTTCTTATTTTAGCTGCTACCTCACCTCTCTGTGCCCACGCTGTCCCTCCCAGCCGTTAGTGCCGCGTCCAAATTGGCAGGTTTTGATTGAGGAGGTGCTTTGGAGCAGGTGCAAAGTCCCACACCCAGGACTTCATCAGCCCTCACCAGACTGGAGCAACCAAGTCCAGGCCAAGCCCAAGTGGAGCCAGAGCCAGGACCTGAGAACCTTCAGGGGGCCTGAGGCAACCCTTCCTTAGCAGGCAGCTCCATCCCATGCCTCTGCTGCTATGACATCACAGAAGTCCTTGGTGACATCACAAACCCTTCATCCCGTGGCTGAGCAGGGGTTGGGAAGACCAAGTAGGGGCTGAAATGAGGTTAATTTGGTGCTCAATTTCTGCCCACATGCCCCTACAAATGCCCACCGGGGATTAAATTTGGCACTCAGCTTGGGCCATACCCCATTGTTCATTTCTCAGGAACCAGCAGATGCTACCACCACAGCCACTGTAACATCACAGGGGCCTTTGGTGATACTTCTTCAGAGGACTAGGCAGGAGGGGATATTACTCTTGGGGGCCAGGAGGGTGTGTCTTGGACTGAAACCAAGAACCAAAATGGAGTTGGCCACTAGTGCACCTACCCTCCCCACCTCTCTCTCCCATCCCCATCCCCACTCCCTCACTGGGCCCTGCTTAGCCCCTCCCTAAATGGGGAGGGAGGGGCCACCAGAGTCAGGAAAGGGAGGGACCGTTGGAATTATAAATTCCAAAAAGGCCACTCAACTCCCAGAACCCAACCCGGAAATTCTACTCTGTCGGCTGCTGCTACCACTACCACTTTCAAGACGCTCACCATGAAGGGCTTTCTGCTGCTCATCCTGTCTGCTGTGCTCTGCTGGGTCTCAGGTGAGCACCTGGGGGCCCCCAAAGACCTGGTTCACCTGGTCAGGACTTCCACACCCTGTCCCAGCCACTGCCCTACACTACCCACAACTCAAGATCCCCAGTGCCCCCAGACCCAACTGGCTCAGTTGACCCTGTGACAGAGTCCTTGCTCCATTTCTCAAGGACTCCAGTCTCCATCCTTCAGACTCCTCCCCACCAAAACCCACTCTTTTAACCTGCCCAGGGTTCCAGTTCCCCTGTTCCCCACTCCTTCTTGGAAACTCTGCTCTCCAGTTCCCCTGCCAGCCCCATTCCAATAATGAAACTCTCTAGGATGCAGCTTACCTGCTTCCTCCTCTCGCCACCTGCACTCAGCAGGGTGTTCTCTCAGAAATCTAGACATGCAGTCTGGGACTTCTTTTGCTCTCCATCCTCCCTTCTACTCCATCAGGGACTTTGTGCTCAGTCCTTCAAGCAGTGGCTTTTCCTGATACGCTCTGCTCCTCCCTGGGGTGCATACCCCCAGGGACACAAGCTTTCTGGAGGGTTCCAGTGGCCCCTCAGAACCTCCCAGAGAACTAGGGAGATTTCCCAGCCTTCTAGGGAGGGAATACCGGGGCTGCTCACCCCCAGATGAGGTAGGTTTTCCTGAGTTGCAGTCCCAGGATCCTCCACCCATAGACTGAACCCTTTCTTCACTCAAACCTTAAATCAGCTGAGGCAGAAACTTTAAGAGGTGTCATCTTCTGCCCTCATCCTTCCATTTCGGTAAAGTGCTCAGATGGATTCCGATGATCTGTCTCCCAGATATTATTCCTTTCTGTCAGAGAGCTGCTGGGTTGGGAGGGTTCCATTCAGGTCTGGTTCTTCTTCCCACACTCTTGGCCACCCCTGGGTTGAAGGTTAAATTATTAAAGCTGGCCTCCGGTGGCTTTCTTGCCCACCTCAAGTTCCAAGCCATTTCTGCAAGTGTTGTAACGCCATGGTTTTTACTTTTTATATTTCTTCCTGTTTCAAGACTCCATCTGTGATGTCTTCTGCATTCCTTCATCTTCTCCCTCACCTCCTCCATTCCTTCCCTGTGGTAGGCTCACATTCCGTCCCTCCCCAGCCCCATGTTTTTCTTGGTAACTCTGCTCCTCCTGACTCATCTCCAGGTGGGGTGGGGTGAAGAAAGATGTTAGGGTGCAGGCTATTCACAGAGCAACAACTCCACCCTCACCCACTTCCACTTCTGCGTCACTCACCTGCTCCATCCCTAGCAGACCAAACAGGTCAGAACACCTACTTGGCTCTTCTCCACCCTATCTCCCAGCTCGGCTCATCCCTAGGTGAGTCAGAAGCTCCATCACCTCAGCATGACTTCTGTCTTCCCAGCTGACATTCGCTGTCACTCCTGCTACAAGGTCCCTGTGCTGGGCTGCGTGGACCGGCAGTCCTGCCGCCTGGAACCAGGACACCAATGCCTGACAACAAATGTGTATCTCGGTAACATCCCTTCTCTAGTAGGGAGAGGGGTCCAGTGGGAGACTATGGCTGGGGCTGAGGTGGAACAGAGAATTATAGCAATGATGGTAATTGGCCAAGGACTTTTGTGCTCCAGGCACCATTCCGTGTCTTTACATGGATTGTTTCAATTTCTGGTCATGACAACCCTAAGATGTGCTGCTATTGTTCTACTGAGGAAACAGCCTCAGAAAGAGACAGTAACTGGTCCAAGACTTCATGGCCAGCAAGTGATAGGACCAGGATTGGGGTGATGGGGCAAAGTAAGGAAGTGCAGGAGGTTAGACTGAGAAGAGATTCAGAAGGGCACGGCCAGGGGCAGAGTTGGGAAGGAAGGAAGCCTGGGTGGGGTGCAGGGGTGGGAAAGTGGACACAGGCATGCCAGGTGCCCACCTTAACTGGCTCCACTGGCCACTTCTAACCCCAGGTAAGATGTGGGTTTTCTCCAATCTCCGCTGCGGCACACCAGAAGAGCCCTGTCGGGAGGCCTTCAACCAAACCAGCCACAAGCTGGGCCTGACCTATAACACTACCTGCTGCAACAAGGACAACTGCAATAGCCCAGCCCCTCGGCCCACCCCGGCCCTGGCCCTTGTCCTTGTCACCTCCTTGGCTGTCCTTGGCCTCTGGCTGTTGCACTGAAATCCACTCTGTGGTTGCCCCTCCTCCCACCTGCCTTGGCCTGAGCCTCTCTTCTTCTGTCTTTGTAACCTCTGCTTCCCTTTGCTCGGAAAAGCAACCCTCCAGACCCTTCACATTTCTTTGCTTAGACAGTGGTCTCCCGCTCCATCCTTCCACCCCACACCCTCCACTCTGCTTTTCCGGAGTCCTTCCCCATTTCCCTCAGACCACCCCAGATCCTCCATGGCCCCCTAAAAGGGCTCCCCCCTTTGCCTCCTGCACACTCCCATGCCCTCCTTGGGGAGGGATTGGAATCTGGGCTGGAAATGGGGGTTCTGCCCTGTCCCCAGTGAAGGCTCCCAAGAAGGACCTGATGACCTCATTGTATGAGCTGATTCCCCACACCCTGGCTGTCATACGTGCCCCAGCCTCATTCTCACCCCTTTCCATTTTGAGTAATAAATGTCTGTATCTGATCAATTGTGCATTTTTGTCAGAAGATCTATTGACAGAAAAGCCGCCCACCCCACCCCCCACCCCACCCCACCCCGCCAGGAAATAACACTCTCAGACCTCACCCCCATCAAAGAACCCCTCAGGGAGTTTTTCTGGGAGGCTGGGCTGCGACAAAAGGAGAAACAGGTTTTTCAGGCCTCCATCCCTCTTCCAGTGTCTGGGGGTGGCATACAGCTCCCAGTGTTTGGAGAAGCAATCCTTATCCTAAATTTAGGCCATACCTCTGATGTACTGTCAAGAAGGAGGTACAGCCTGGCTTGAGGGATCCCCAGAAAAGGTAGGAGAGTTGCATGGGGATGGGACATGGGACCCTCTTGCCAGGCCTCACTCCCTCAGGTTAGAGTCAGAGGCCTCCTGGCCAGGTAAGTGAGGCACATTTCCTTTCTCAATCCAAAATAGCCATACTGGGAGCTAAGTTGCAAATGGAGGAAAGGGGAACAAGCCCAGACAACCAGGCTCATTGATTCCTGGTGGCCCCCACTCAGCCCAGAGCCTGCTCCTCTCAGTTATCCTCATTGCTAAGGAAGATTCTCTCTAGCAACAGGATGTAGAAGCCACTTAGGGCAGATTCTCCATTGTCCTTTGGGGTTTAGTTGGCTGAGAAGTGCACCATTGTAACTAAGTCCACTGATCCTTGATGACCCCTAAACTCAAGCCTAGATGACCCCATATCACTCCTTCAGCCCTCCCATCAACAAAAGATGGAATTTTCCAGTCAGCTTTAGAGTGGTCGATAGATTTTAATGGCTCAAAGAGGAGTGTTTGTCTTCTCACTTCAGAGTGCCTTAGTTCCCTTGCTCCATTGCTCCCTTCCCTTCCCCGGCTCCCTCTACCCTCTCCACAGTCCCGGCAGGAGCCAGACCAGGGTGGTGGCCGCTGCGGCCAAGAGGTATGCAGGGGCCGCAGTGCTTGCCACAGCACTGTTGCACAGGTCTCCAACGCAGCAGTCCCTGTGGGTCGTATAAGTCACCTCTCCCACCACTTCTGTTTCCACTCGATTGCAATGATGGGCCGCCACGCAGGCTGGATGATGATGAATCAAGGTCACTGAGGCTGAGAGAGAGAATGACACTGGGGTGTTGGACACCTGGCTTGAGGACTTGCCTTCTGCGGCAGAGCAGATGTGACTTCAAGGAGCCCAAAGGGATCCTCTGCCCCCTCAAAAAACACCTCCCCGAAACCAAGTGATCACAGTTAACACGTTGACACTGTGAATCCCCTGATGGGATGCACTGAGAGGGACCAACATCATTTCTTGCCCAAATCTCATGAGCTCAATCTAATCATGAGAAAATATCAGATAAATCCAAATTGCAGGATGTTCTATAAAGTAACTTACCAGGACTCTTCAAAAGTGTCAAGATCATGGGGGAAAAAAAGGAAGATTCAGAAATGTCACTAAGAAGACATGAGAGCTAAGTGCTATGTGGGCTCCTGGTTTGGGTTCTGTATCAGAAAAGGGACATGAGTGGGACAACCAGCTAAACTGAGTAAGGTCTGTAGAGTAGCTGGTAGTACTGTACCAGTGTTATTTTCTGATTATGCTAATTGTACTATGGCTTTATAAGATATTAACATTTGAGGAAGCCGGGTGAAGAATATACAGTACTATTCTGTACTATTTTTTCAACTTTTCTGTCAATCTAAAATTATTTCAAAATTAAAAGTTGGGTGGAGGGCTGCTCCAGGAGCAGTAGGCAGGACCCAGTGCTTTGGATCCTCTCCCCTCAACCAAAAATTGATTAATCAATTAATTAAAATTAAAATTCACACACACACACCCCTCTGGGATCCTTAACTGATGCCTGCAATTTGAAGTTTGGTTGAATATTTTGGTCCTTCAAGGGACACAGCTTTTCCAACCATTTGTGAGTGAATGGGCCTATGAGATTCTGGAGAGTCAAAAGGAGGGAGGTGGGGCTACACAGATGGCGGGCTTCCGGGGCTCGGCGCCAGGAGCCAGAAGGGGCTACAGACTGCTCCACTCCGACAATGGCACCATCTGCCCAGAGCCAGACTGAGCCTGGAAGGTTCTGGAAGCCAGAAGGACTGAGGGATGGGCTGGAGGCAGGGAGGGGCTGGGAGGAAGGGGGAGAAACTGAGGACTCACGGTTTCCAGACAGCTTGGTCTGTCCCACGTCCCCTTTGGGTTTGCGCTCCAGGAAGCCACAGCGTTCGCCCTCTCCACAAGTGGTCACGGTCTCTTGGCAGGAGCCGCTGGGGCCTCCACCGCAGTCATAGCACCGCATGCGGTTTCCTGGCAGGAGAGAAGAGGTGCCGGACCTGGGCTCTCAAGGGAGCCGCTGGCAGAAGGGGACGGGCCTGTGTGAGAGGCGCCTGGGCTGCCTCCTTACCCAAGGCAGCCCCCAGCAGGGTGCTGAGTAGGATCCCGACAAATAGGGGGTTCATCGTGTCTGCCTGTGTCCAGAGCGCCTCTCCTTCCCTCCCACCCCCCTCCCTGGCCCTGCTCTGCCAGCCTTTTATCCCCCTGGCCTTGGGCTTTATAGGGCAATAAAAGGGGAGGAAAGAGTCTCCCCCAGCATGCACCGGGGCCCCAATGGGGTCAGGAAGGGGCCCCCACAGGAGTCCCCACATTCCTCTGAAGTCCTCAAACTCCTCCACCTCAGAAACAGTTCTAAAACGGTGGCCCCAGAACTCCTGGGGGTCTCTAAGACCCTTTGAGAGGGTCCTCGACAGTCTTCCAACGACTTATCTGTGTGAGGTCAGATTTTCACCATAACCTCAACCAAAATAACGCATCCCAGCAGGTTGAATGCAGAAGCAGATGTGAAAACCCAGTCATCTTCTGGTTCTTCTATTAAGCCTGACATTAAATAGATTCTCCCAAGGATAAAGCAACGCCACTCTTCTTACTGTATTGTTGGGTAAGAGGCTATTTTTCACAAAACCATGTTTTGTTAACATGTAATAGGTTTATTGGTTTTTTATTTTTATTTTTTATTTTTAAATTTTTAAATAAACCTATCACACTGTTCTATTTCGATTTCTAGTATAACAAATAGCGATATAACTTACATAAGAAAAGCTCTTTGGGGTCTTCAGTAATTTTTGAGTGTAAAGAGGTTCTGAGATGAAAAATGTTTTTGAAAACTGCTGTTTAACAAATACCTGGGTGTCCTCTGTCTCACCCCCTCTCACATTCCCCCAGCCCAGTCTGCCTCTTACTCCTCCTGGTACATTCTGCCCTGATTCCCTAGATGCGGCTCTTCTCCCCAGACTCTCAAGCCCCAGTCTTCCAGACTCTACCACACGCCCCACCACTGCTCCAGAGCTTATCCCTGCCTTCCTTCCTAGTCTTTCTGATCCCCTCACCCCTGCCCCAGTGGAAACACATCAGTCCCTCTGGCCCCACCCATAATTAATTCTTTCCTCCAATGTAGTAAAGCCGGGAGAGATAATTATGGGATAGCAATGTTAAGGCTTGGGGAGATCAAAGGGATCAGAGGCTGGGTGGGGTCCTCCCTTGCGCAGCTGCAGCTGGGCTTTGTGTGTGCAGGTTGCGGGGTTGGGGGTTGCTGATTCCACACTCAAATACCATGCGCAAACAGATCTGGGCCCAGGCTGTTTAGGAGAGTGACCTTGAGAGACTTAAATACACAGAAGGGGAAAACACGAAGAAACAAAAACTGGGAGAGAGCAGAGAACAGCTTGAGACAAGGGGAGGGAGGGAGAGGAGTAGGAGGGGAAGTGACAGACACTGACAGACACCACTCAGGAGCGGCAGACGCAGCTAAGAGTAACAGGCAAACGTTAAGAGCAGAGAAGATCCTCAAGGTAAGAGCAGACTCCAGTAGGAGGCAGGGAGGATGTGAGAGCAGTGGGGCCAGGGCCCCTGCTGTGTCAGGCTGCTGAATCTGTTCCCAGTTCCGTCCCCCACAGATTCACTCCCTAGGTGTGTTTGTTTTCTGGTCCCTCCCTGTCTTGCTCAGATGCTCCAACTCTCCAACTCTCAGATCTCAGGGTACAGATCACATTCTCCCAGACTCCTGAGCCCCGGGTCCAGCCATGGGCACCTCCAGCATCTTCTTCTGCATTCTGTTTCTTGGTGGGGCACTGGGTAAGGGTGAGCTGGGGAATCCTTGGGGGCTAGAGGCAGGGTCCGGTGGTGGCAGGGGCTTGTGGAGGAGCCTGAGGGCTGGGGAGGGGGCTGGGGAGTGTGCTGAGAGATGCCAAGGAGAGAGCTGTAGGGGCTTTGGAAAGAAGAGATACTTGGAACAGTCTCTGGCCAGTCTAATGAGGTGAAACAAAGAAGTTTCTTTTCAAAGACATTTGCTAATAACTGTCTCTTCCTTGTGGCGTCTTTGACATGCCCCTTATCTCACCTCTTGCTTCTTGGCTGGGCCCCTTGGTCAATGTTAATTCCTATTTTCCCATCTGACTTGGCACCATCTGCTTAACTTCTTCACTGCCATCCCTCTCCCATCCCGTCTGGTTTTTTGTATCATTCTCTGTGTTCATCTCTGAGTCTCTTGGCTTCTGTTCATATTTGTGCATCTCTCTCACTCCCTGTATCCCTCTTGCCTCTGTGTCTTTTTCTTTTCTGGCACTGTCTCCCCTCCCTTCTCTGTGTCTCTTTTTCTACTTCTGTCTGCTTTTCTCTCCATTTCACGCTTCCCTCTCCTATTTTGTGTATCACCTCTCTCTGCATCCCATTCCCAGATCTGGGCTCAGCCTCTCACCTGTCCTGTTTGCCTCTCTTCCCTGCCTGGTCTCCATCGACCTCACAGGTCTCACCACATCCTCTGCCCAGGGACGGCTCCGCTGTTACACCTGCAACTTCGCCAAACCCTGCTACCCTATTCCCACCGAGTGTCAGGATGATGAAGTTTGTGGCATCAGCATTGGTACCTCAGGTAGGATTCTGGTCCAGTGGACCTTCTCCAGGTCTTCCCCACTGCCATCCATCCTGTCTTTCCTGTGGCCTCCTGGCCCTTGCCTCTTTCCTGCCCAAGCCTCAGCATTCTCCCTTTGTCCCACAGAGCAGAGTGAGGTCATCCAGCGGAAAGGCTGCCTCCCAAGGGCCCAGTGCCCTCTGCAGGGCCATGCCACCTACTGGGAGCGCTCCTACTCTCTGCAGCACCACTGCTGTGAGCAGGACCTGTGCAATGCGGCCACCACCCTGCAGCGGCTCCCCAGCTGCCTCCTCATCACCCTGCTCATCCTCATGGCCAGCTTCACCTGGGGAGGCCACCTTCTCCACTAGCCTCTCACAGACCTACAGCCGTCAACACAGGACTCCTCTACCATCACCATAGCCCTGGGAACACCTGTACAGACACTTGCGAGATTTGGCCAAGAACCTGATTTTGTACAGAGACCTCAGATCCCTGGTCCCAAGAGCTTCCCAGACCCCCCACAAGACCTGATTCCTACAGTCATTGCTCCAGCCCCTCCTGGCCCACAGTTCCTGCCCAGAGCCCAGCCTCATAAAGAACACCTGTTCTGAATCTTCGGCCTTTTCTAGATGCCCACTGCTGATGTGTTCTGTCAGCCCCAGCCTTCTGGCAAGGCAAGTGTTTGATGGAGCTGGGGGTCCCAGGCAAGGGGATTGAAGGGCCACCAGATGTGGTGGGGAAGAGAGTTCTGTTAGGAAAGTTTAATTTAGTAGGTCAGGAACTCAGGAAGGAGGGCTTGGAGAGCTAGGAAGAGTATACATAATAAAAATGCTGTCTTGGGAGTCCGGAAACGCCTGTGTGTGTGTGTGTGTGTGTGTGTGCACGAGCACACACATTCTCTCTCTAAAAGCAAACTATAGCTGCTTGGTGGGTTGGGCTGGGATGCTGGCACCTGAAAAATAACTGTCCCTTCATCTTCCATCTGTCATTGGCGTCCTCCTTCTTGCCAATAGCTTAGCTTAAGCCACTGCAGCGTGAAGGCTTTAGGTGAGACTTCCAAGAAAGCTTTTCTCTAGCGAAGCCCCAGCTTGACTAGATACACAAAAAGGCCCTTTCTCCAGTGAGGCCCAAGCTTGACTGGATACATAAAAGGGCCCCTGGTGGAGTGGTGAGGGTGTGGCTAGGAGGCCACAGGAGACAAGGAACACCAGTGTCCTCCCCCGCTTCACCAGCCCAGACTTGTCCATGGTTTACTGACAAACCAGATTACACACCCAACCAGAGAATCCACCCACCCACCGCTGAGGACACTCTCGCTGCCTAGGGAGAGAGCATGTGACTTGTGGGGCTGTCAGGATGTCAGGATGACAAGCTGCTCCCTGCTCCGGATGCCACAATGGAGTGCCTAGGATAAGGAGGAGTGTGTGGGGGGGGCACCCTATCCTGACCCCTTCCTTCCCCTTCCATCTGAGGAAGTCTGGGGTCCGATTAAAGGTGCTTATTCTCTCTCAACTTCTCTTTGTGAGAAGGAGACGGGGGTGAGGATCTGGCTTAAATTAGAAGCAAGTTGAGTGTTATTTCCATTCTCTCTGTCCCTCCATCCTCCCACTTTGTACTTCTATTTTTCTGTCTTTCTGTCTGTCTCTTTCCCCTTACTCTGCCTTGAGCCTCTTCCCGTCTCTCTTCTTCAATGTCCCCCATTTGTCCTTTGGTTCCCCATAGCTGATCCTCCCCCAGCGCTCCAGCCTCTGGATTCCTCTGTGTCTTTTCTGCCCATCCCCAACCCTCCTCAGCCCTTGCCAGCTACCCCAGGCTCCCTTCATCCCATGGTACTGCAGGTTTAGGCCACCCTGTCACTGGCTACTGCGAGATAGGAAACCACACCTTTTCATAGGTCACATCACAGAATAATTCTTCTTTCTTTCAGCTCCCAGCCCCTTAAAACACACATGCACGCACACGTACACACAACACACAGAAAACATAGTTTGGCTGCTGGAGACCAGCTGGACTGGGAAGTAGCACTCCCAGCCCCTCCCCTCTTGCCAAGGTTTTCAGGGAATCCTTCAGGTGCCAGATGACCAAGGAGACAGCAGGTGACACTTCCCAGCAGCTGTCATTAAGATCACCTGGTCTTGGGGACAGGTGGGCTGTGGGTTTTGCAAAGGAGAAAGACAGATTAAGGATACTTCCATTCGCCACCTTCTTGGGGACCAGCATCTGATCCCCACCCCACCCCAGTCTCCTCTGGGTTTTAAACCTCCGCCCCCTAGCTCCTCACCTGAGATGGGCCAAATGGATATTCTCATAGACCTGGATCTCGGGTTTGAATCGAGGAATTGAGGCATCTGGGGAGAAGGAGCCATAGCGGGTGCGGCAGAGAAGTCAGATAACTCAGAATTGTATTCCTTACCCCCTCCTCCCCTAAGGAAGACCGCATAAAGCAAGATGTGAGCTCACCCCCTCTGCCTCATGCCCACAAACTCTCTTCTTTCCTCTGGGGAGGAGGGACTCACCTCTGCCCTGAGACCCCTGGACCCTCCACCTCCACAGCATGATGCTGAGGACCAGGATAATGATCCCCTGGCCCACTGCGAGCAACAGCATCAGGATCCGGGGCACACCCCAGTCTGTGGAAGGGGCACAGAGGGCAGGGGAGGCGTCCGCGGAGGCTGCAGCAAGGACAAGACAAGAGGGATCAGGAGGGAGGTAGGGAGGGGGTCTGTCCCTTGTGCCCCACAGAGAAGCTTCCCCCATAGTCTGGTGGTCTCTTCCAAAAGACTTCATATGCTTCCTTGCCCCCAATATCCACAACCCCCCTTCTCCCTTTTCCAGGCCTCTCGCCCTGACCCCCTGAGCCAACACTGATAGAGAGCGCCAGTGCCCTCTGCCTACACATGGACGGCTAACTCTAGGGCAGACCACGAGTTACAACTGCGATTTTTAACTCATACCCTTCCTAGTAATCCACCCTTTCAAGAAAAAAGACAGTGCCTTCTGTTTATTCGTTCTTCCATTCATTCACTCCATAAGCATCTGCAGAGTGCCCACCATGTGCCAGACACCATATTAGGTGCTGAGGATGGAGAGGGAAATAAAACCCAGTCACTGCCCATTAACTGGCCTATGCTTACCAAAATAATGGGCATTGGCTCCTCCCTCCTGCCTTGCGAATGGGTTATTCTACAACCAATAGCATTCTTTCTCTGCATAATGGACTTTTTATTGTAAAACAATCATATATTTTTCCTCCTTCTGCCTCCACTATCAATGGGCCATTATAACATCGGTGCATATATCCTTTCTTCAAAAGACAACTGCCCCAGCAATAATTCTTACTTTCTTCCTCTCTGCTAAGGGATTTTTCACAAAAGTCACAGATTATTCTATTTCTAAATACAGATATAGACCACCAGAATCCTTCTCCCTCTTGGCTGATGGTCTATTCCATGAGAAAGCTCACTTAACCAACCCCCTTCTCTGCTAAATGGATTGAGTGAATGAGAAAAGAGTCCTCCTCCTCCAGGCAGCAGTCTGCTCCACCAAAAATGACCCCCTCCACACTGCCCCACGTGGCCAGTAACAGATTTGCCTCCTCTCTCCCCTCCTCCCCAGCCAGCGGTGTGGGATGTGTTGGAGGCAACATCCTTCCCACAGTGTCCCTCAGTTTACCTGCCAGGTTAAAGCTGATCCCTTTATTCTGTGGCATGAGGCAGCGGATGATTCTTGGTCTACGTCTCCTGGGCTCAGGAAGCCCCTCTCCAGGACACACCAAGAGCAGGGCAGCCCCATCACCCCAGAAGGACTGTACATAGCCCCTCACAGTACCCTTCCCCTCCAGCCAGGTCACAGAGTCCAGGCGCCTGGCAGGGACCACAGAGCACAGGAGGACAGAGCAGGGGGATCCATCTGCAGCCCTTGCAGAGAACTGGGATCCTGGAGGGAGAGAGGGAGTCCTTAGTTTTTTGTCTGGGCTTCCCTAACTCCCAGTAGCCCCTGGTCTGCATGCCCCCCACTCACCTCTGAGCACAGAGACATCATACACCCTCCAGTTCTGGTACTTGTTGTGCTGACCCAGCACAGCGCACCAGTACCTCCCAGCATCTCCCTCCCTGGACCCTTCCAGCCACAGAGAGTAGTTTCCCAGCAGTTTGAGCTGGGGTTCCCTTTGGAGCTTCCCAGAGTAGGGAGTTGGTCTGGCCATTTGGACTTGGGCCACTAAGACAGTAGAGGAGACTGTTGCAGGGCTGCGGAACCACGACAAGATTTCATCCCCATGCAGGGTGGGCGGTGAGGGGCACGGCAGCTCCAGTGCCTCCCCCAAGGCGACATAGATGGCCTGGATGTTGTCTGTGGGGAGGGGGTTGTATGAGACCAGAGCCCTCCATCAAATCCACAACCACACCACTCGACCTCCTACCCCTCCCTTCCTCCCCTTCCTGGGTACCCCCAGCACTGGGCCTGTCTGTAAGCACATTTCTCAAGTGACAGCTACAAAAAATTGAGGTGAATAGAAGAGGGTAGGACTCCCCCATCCCCACCAAGTGAGTGAAGGACTCTGAGGGCAAGAGCGGAAAGGCTGGAATAGTTAACAAATGCCCGTCTCCCTTCCCCTCATTTCGCATTTTCTGGATGAGCATTTACTTGTCCGTTCTTGTTTTCTAAAGGAAACTGTACCTGACCTGGACCCTCATGGTCTCTGGGTCTTCCCCAGTACTAGAGACAGGGGGAGGTCAACTGGGGTAAATCTATCTTCGTGAGCCAGATGCCTTCCCCAGGCCCCTAAGGAGAAATAGCAGCAGTCCCTCCCAACCTTGGGAAGAGCTAGAGAATCCCCCACCTCCTGCTCCTTACCTGCAACAGCCTTGGGGAGCCCACACAGGCACAGAAAGGGGAGGAATAAGACAGCCATGGGGAGAGCTTGCCAACTTCTCTTGCCTGGGACCTGCTATCCCCAGGGAGGAAACAGAGCCCAGATTAACGCCCATTCTCCCTAGTCTGGAGTGACAAGGGCCTCTGAAGGGGATGTGAATGCTGGGGAGATAAAGCCTAGCTGCATGTCTACCAGGGAAAAAAATGACCACCACCTTTCCATGCCGAGAGAGAAAAGACCCAGTTCAGGCCACTCTGAAGATGACCCCATTACCCTTCAGACTCCACATCAGCTGAAGGAGTCAGATCAAAAACTCTCCATGCTAAGACGTCTGCCCAGAAGCAGTCACGGTTGTCCACATCCCATCAGTCTGGAAGTACACTCCGTGTTCTCCCTTCCAACCCTAGAGATTTCAGCCATGAGTGAAGATGAGTCTTCATGTTGGTTTCTAAGGAACCCCAGCACAAGACTGCACACCCAGTCAGTACTCCATAAATGACTTAGAATGACATTCCTTGTGGCTGCCTGGCACACCACAGACTTCTTCTGAGCCTCTGGTGAGTATATTAAGTTATTAACTCAAGGAGAAGGTTAGCAGGGGCCTGGAAAATTCACTGATTCATCCCTTTTCCCCAGGCAGGACTCTTAGGGCAGATCTTCATATAGCTCTAATAGTTTGTAATGTGTTATTTATTTTCAAAGGCTATTCCTTTAACAGTTGTTTTTGATGAAATATTTCATGCATACCAAAGACTATATCTAATGTACAACTATATAATGGCTAAATAAACTGTGGTATATTCATACACGAAACACTCAACAGCAATGAGAATGAGTAAACCACAATGACATGCAACAAGGTTGCATCTCACAAACATAATGAGAGTAAAGAAGCCAGAAACAAAAGGCGCGTATTGCATTTATATAAAGTGCAGAAACTGGCAAAACTAATGTACAAGGTTAGAAATTAAGATAGTGATTACCTCTGGTGGGGTGGTAGCAAATGGTAGTAATCTGGAGAGGGTCTTCTAGATGCGGTAATGATATGTTCTTGAACTGGGTGCTGCTGATCACATGGATATACTCAACTGGTGCACTTTTCTGTATATGTGTTTACTGCAGTGAAAAGCTAAAGAGTTTATATATTATGTAGGTGTCAGGTACAAAGAAAAATAAAACAAACCCGTATACCTACTGAGAAACAGAATACTATCGTTTCAAAGATGCTCTATGCTGTATAACAACATTCTAAATTCACTCTTTCACATACATGATCGTTAAATTTTATGTGTTTTTGAATTTTATACTATGGTGTCATGTTGTGCACAGTCTTCTGTGGCTTTCTATTTTCCACTCAATATTATGGTTTTGAGATTTATTCAAGCTTAAGTACGATAATTCATCTTTTTTTTTTTTTACAGTATTTCACACGTCTTAACAATACGAAATCTTCTATCCATGACCATGGCGTAGCTCTCCACATAGTCAAGCCTTCGTTTACCTCTTTCAAGAACTTTTGTAATTTTCTTGGTAAAATCTTGCATATCTTTTATTAGATGTATTCCTAGACACCTTTTTTGTTGCTCTTGTCAAATGCTCATGATCCTACTCTTCGTCCCCACTGTCACTCGAGAGTCTGCCAATAAGGGATAGAAAAAACTAATTTACTTATGTCTGATAATTCTCTACCTCCCCGCGTTCCAAACGCCTCCGACTAATTTCTGTCCATTGCTGTACCCGTAGCTCCAAGTGCGCGAAACTCTGTTCGGGAAGCGCTGAAAATGTCTCGACTCTGCACGAGGCGGAGCCGGTACGTGCTGACGTCAAGGGCACGCAACATCTTAGAGGCCGGGGGAGGGCGGGGCCGTCAGGGGGACCTGCTGCTGGAAGAGCAGCGGCCCGGCCCGGGGCCATGGCGAAGCTGCTGAGCTGCGTACTAGGCCCCCGGCTCTACAAAATCTACCGGGAAAGGGACTCTGAAAGGGCCCCGTCCGGCGTCCCTGGGACTCCAACTTCAGTCACTACCCCCCCTTCCAGCTCCTGGGTGAGTCGAGTTCTCCCCTGGTTAAAAACATAGTATGGCCCAAACCCCTTTGCGGCCTTTGCTCCCCAGAAGCGCCCATTATTGGAAATAGGGGGAGCCTGCTTGTCAAGCCAGTTGTCCGCAAAATCTGCGCTCTTTGTGCTTCCTGGGTTAAAGTCACCCTGTGGACTGGCCGTCTGTTTTATCGCTGTTTGCCAGTGCTTTCTCATTCTGACTACCACTCCTTTTTCCTCTCGCGGCCCCTCACCCTACCCGTCGTGGTTCCTGCGGGTCCCAATTGACTCTTAAAAGTCCTGGAAGAGACCCTGCGCGGATTCCGGAGCTGGGTGATTTTGCCATTACGCTCTCCATTTATTCTTACTCAGTGCCTCACTCGGTTCCGCTTATCCTCCCCGGCCTTGAATTTCAAAATGATTTCTTCAACGTATCGTGTATCCGCTCTCCCCTCACCCCACCCCCAGCCTACCTTGGAGACCCCAGGATCACTGCGTTCCTGAAAGCTGGGGTGGTGGTAGGCTGTGCCCCTAAATGTTGTCTTCCTTTTTATCGGGAGTCTCAAATTATGTTTATTGTCCTCTGCAAACTGCCCACCTCCAGCCACACCTACTCCTAAATAACAAACAAAAACCCACTCTTATTTCTGGCTCTTCTTTCCCTTTAAAAGTTGTCATGGTGTCTTTTCCTTCTCTAACCCCTCTCCCATATGCAAACAACCCATTTAAAACTGCATTGTGAAAAAACAAGAGTCGTCCAATGTTGCTTTCACTTTTCCTTCCAAGTCCAGCCCCCCGTGTTTGTTCCTCTGGTCTGGAGTGGGAAAGCAGGCTTTCAGTTGTGATGGGGAAGGGAGGCTTCCTTGGGAGCCAGAGATGTCCCAGGAGAGATGGCTTTGGGGGCTAGAACCAAAGGACACACATCAGGGCTTCTGCAAGGGAAGGGGGAGAACTTGTCAATGAGCGGGGTCCTTAATTCCACCATCTGTTTTGGCAGGATACGTACTATCAGCCCCGTGCCCTCGAGAAACATGCTGACAGCATCCTGGCACTGGTATGTCTGCCCCGGGCATCTGAGACTACTACTGCATCTTTTCAGAGCCAGTTGCCCTCCTGAACTTTCTCCTCCCCAGCCTAGGAGAAGGCAGCGCCCTTGGGGGTGGGGAATGCTCTGGGCTTTGCAGCAGACATCTCCAACACACACACATAGACGGCTCTCAAACGCGCATACTTGGTACTCCCCTTTGGCATGTGCACTGCTTTCTCTGGGGCAGCCTGAGCCATGAAGAAACCCTTTACTCTTGGGACCATCCCCAGATGCTGGGTCCTGCAGTCCCCAGTGACCTGTCCTCCCTGGCAACTAACCTCTTTGGCTGCAGAGACAGCTGTTGTCTCTGGCAAGGTTCCTGTGGTGATGTTTGTGCATCTCTTGGGGACAAGGCCAGGGGCTGTCCTGAGCAGAGCTGATTGAAGAGGCTTGATTGACTTGAGTAGAAAAAGAGACTGGCCTTAAGATGTGATGAAATTATGTCCGGAGATGACTAGATGAAGAAAATAGAAACTGTACCTAGTTTTCCCAGCCTGTGTTATGCTCTGACACACTGCTTTTCAACAAATAATTGAGCACCTACTGTGTGCATGGTGTCATGCACAGGGTAGGTACTTGATATGATATTATCCTTCAGGTTATCCACTTTGCTCAGAGCCTAGGCCTGGAAATGGCAGACTTGTGTGTGCGTGCATGTGTGTGTGTGTATTGATTGCTTGTCCCTGTCTCTCTGCTGCAGGCTTCAGTCTTCTGGTCCATCTCTTATTACTCCTCTCCCTTCGCCTTCTTCTACTTGTACAGGAAAGGTCAGTGTGGTTTCCAAGGTGGTGGGACAGGAAATGGGCAGGTTGTTGGCAGCTGAGCCCATCTCCTAAAGGGGAAAGGGAACCTGTGAGGATGGCTTGGCTTCCCTCTTCCATCAGGCATCTTCTTCCTCTGAGGGCGTGGCTGTCCCCCAAAGAGGGTGTGGGGTGGAGACTGGGGCCAAACTGGGAAAGGAGCTGAGGGTCAAGGGGGAAAGCGTCTCACATAATCACTCTCCCATCCAGGTTACCTGAGTTTGTCCAAAGTGGTGCCATTTTCTCACTATGCTGGGACATTGCTTCTGCTACTGGCAGGAGTGGCCTGCCTCCGAGGTAGGTGGAGAGGGACCTGGTTTGGACCTATCCATCACTGGGTAAATATTCATTAAGTACCTTCTGCAAATATAATTTGGTGCTGGTCTCTGAGGGGGAGTAATTAATGGTCAAGGCATGATCTTTTCCTTAAAGGGCTTGAGTCGTAAATAGAAACAAATAATTGGCAGAAACATTTGCTGTTACCTAGAAAAGATGCATATACCCTACAACAGTTCCATATATATCCATATATATGTTTGTAATAACCCTAACTGGACTGCATGGCCCCGAATAGCAGGATGGATAAATACATTAGGGGTATAGTCCTGCAACAGAACGCCATAGAGCAAGGCAGACACACAGACTATAGAGTTACACTCAGCAACACAGATGGATCTCAGAGGTGTTATGCTGAGTGAAAAATGCTGACCACCAAATAGTTCATGCAGTATGTTTCCATTTATATGAAATTCAACAGGGATGCAGATCTAAGTGGTAAAACACTAAAGAAAATCACAGGCATGGGTATCTTGAAAGTCAGGAGACTGCTTACCTGGAATGGGGAGGGAACAGGCCGAGGAGGCCTCCTGGCAGGAGATGGCTTTATTCTCTTTCTTCATCCTGGGTGATTGGTACATGAATGTTTGTATCTTTTAAGCTGAATGTATGTTTTATGTACATATGTTATTATCTCACAATTTTAAAAATGGAGAGACAAACCAAATCATTGCCCTCTGGTGGGTGCACATGATGAAAACCGGGGGAGGGGGGTCCTGAGAAGGGAGTGGTGGGGTCAGGAGCTGGATGGCTACAGGTGGGTCCAGCCCGAGGTGAGGCCCTTCTGCCTGTTCTGTCTCCTGATCACCATGGGGCTGGGCTCCCTCCTTAGACAGGCCCTCCCTGATCACCCTGCCTAAAAATAGATCCCACTCCTCTTCATTTTTTTAATCTGGGGGAAAAATTCAGTCCAGAGAACAAAATACCAAAAAGAACTAAAATGTTTGTGTTTTGTGCTATTGCTTCAAATATGTTTTGTCAGTAAAATACTAAAGCATTACAGATAGAGTTGACATTCCCACCTAAATCTAACCGCAGTCACACGTTCCTCTTTACCCAGAAGTAGCCACTGTCATCTGGTGTAGGTTTTCTTCCTGGTCCATATTTTTTACTTTTACACAATATATACCTCATTCCATTAAATCTAAGCAGCTATAAATTGTAAAACACACACTGATTTCAGAGTTTTCAAATATGAAAAAAAATAGGCATTTTAAAGTCTGCGACATGGTGAGTATAAACAATATGTAGCATTTGGGGGGCGCATTTTACCTTTTTAGCACAAATGGCATCATTCTATCTGAATAATCCTGCAGCATGTTTCATTCTCAGTATTGTCTGGGGGCTCTCCCCTTGATAACACATAACATTCTAGTTCATTCTGGTTTTATTTTCTTTATAGCACTTACGCTTCTCTGAAATGTTCCTGTTTACTCATTTACTGTCTTTCCCCAGCCCCACCCCACCCCCAGCTGAAAGGCCAGCTCTCTGAGGGCCGGACCGGTGTGTCTCACTTGTTTCCTGCTGTTTCTCCCACATCAAAGCAGTGCCTGGGGCATGACTCCTTCGGGTCAGAGGGAGCAGAGAAGTCAGGGTTTGAGACTCCTTGGCAGTCATGGGAGAGCAGGTGCAATCGCTGAGGGGCCAAGTGAGGAGAGAAGAGAGCCCAGTGTTAGGAATGGCTTTCGATTCCGAGAGGGACGTAGAAGGG